TCAATATACGGAAATCCATCAATGTGATCCACCATATTAACAAACTGAAAGAAAAAACCACATGATAATCTCCCTAGATGCTGAAAAAGCATTTGAGAAAATCCAACATCCATTTATGTTTAAAGTACTGGGGAGATCAGGGATACAAGGCACATATCTAAACATAGTAAAGGCGATATACAGCAAGCCTATAGCCAACATCAAACTGAACGGAGAGAAACTTAAAGCAATCCCACTGAAATCAGGGACAAGACAAGGCTGCCCACTCTCTCCATATCTCTTCAACATAGTGCTGGAAGTCCTTGCTAGAGCAATAAGACAGTCGAAGGAGATCAAGGGGATACAGATGGGAAAGGAAGAAGTTAAATTATCACTTTTTGCAGATGATATGATAGTATACATGAGTGACCCCAAAAACTCTACCAGGGAACTCCTACAGCTGATAAACACCTTCAGCAAAGTGGCCGGATACAAAATTAACTCAAAAAAATCAGTAGCACTCCTGTATACAAAAGACAGAAGGGCTGAGAAAGAAATTAGAGAAATAACACACTTCACAATAGCCACAAATGACATAAAGTACCTTGGTGTAACCCTAACCAAGCTAGTCAAAGACTTGTATGAAAAAAATTTCAAGTCTCTGAAGAAAGAATTAGAGGAAGATATGAGAAGATGGAAAGATCTCCCATGCTCATGGCTTGGCAGGATTAACATAGTAAAAATGGCCATTTTACCAAAAGCAATGTACAGATTTAATGCAATTCCCATCAAATTACCAACACAATTCTTTACAGACCTGGAAAGAAAAATTCTCAACTTTGTATGGAATAACAAGAAACTGAGAATTACTAAAACAATCCTCTACAATAAAAGATCTTCTGGAGGTATCTCCATCCCTGATTTCAAGCTGTACTATAGAGCAACAGTTATAAAAACTGCATGGTACTGGCATAGAAACAGAATGGTGGATCAATGGAATCGAACAGAAGACCCAGAAATAAACCCACACACTTATGGACACCTGATTTTTGACAAAGATGCCAAAACCATACAATGGAAAAAAGATAGCATCTTCAACAAATGGTTCTGGTCCAACTGGATGTCTCCATGTAGAAAAATGAAAATAGATCCATACTTATCACCCTGCACAAAACTCTACTCCAAGTGGATCAAAGACCTTAGCATAAAACCAGACACATTAAATCAGCTAGAAAAAAAAGTGGGGAATACCCTAGAACTCATTGGTACAGGAGAAAACTTCCTGAACAGAACACCAACAGCACAGGCTCTAAGAGCAACAATCAATAAATGGGACCTCATGAAACTGAAAAGCTTCTGTAAAGCAAAGGACACCATCATCAAAACAAAGTGACTGCCTACAGATTGGGAAAGAATCATCACCAACCCTTTATCTGACAGAGGACTCGTATCCAATATATATAAAGAACTAAACAAGCTGAAAAGCAACAAACCAAGTAATCCACTTAAAAAATGGGGAACAGAGCTAAAGAGAGAATTCTCTGTAGAGGAATATCGAATGGCAGAGAAGCACTTAAAGAAATGCAATGCTCAACCTCATTAGCCATTAGGGAAATGCAAATCAAAACAACCCTGAGATTTCACCTTACACCCATCAGAATGGCCAAGATGAAAAACTCAAGGGACAACACATGCTGGAGAGGTTGTGGAGAAAGGGGAACCCTTCTCCACTGCTGGTGGGAATGTAAACTTGTACAACCACTCTGGAAATCAATCTGGTGATTTCTCAGACAACTAGGAATAGCGCTTCCTCAAGATCCAGCCACACTACTCCTAGGCATATACCCAAAAGAGGCTCAAGTACACAAAAAGGACATTTGCTCAACCATGTTTGTAGCAGCTTTATTTGTAATAGCCAGAAGCTGGAAACAACCCAGATGCCCCTCAACTGAAGAATGGATGCAGAAACTGTGGTACATCTATACAATGGAGTATTACTCAGCAATGAAAAATAAGGAAATCATGAAATTTGCAGGTAAATGGTGGGATCTGGAAAGGATCATCCTGAGTGAGTTGTCCCAGAAGCAAAAAGACACGCATGGTATATACTCACTGATATAAACATACAACATAGAATAAACCCACTAAAATCTGTACATCTAAACAAACTAAGCAAAAGAGAGGACCCTAACTAAAATGTTCAATCCCCATCCTGAAAGGCAAAGAGGTTGGACATCAGAAGAAAAAGAAAATAGGAAACAACCTCGGAACCTGCTACAGAGGGCCTCTGAAAGCCAGAAGAATACAGGAAACAACCTTGGAACCTGCCACAGAGGGCCTCTGAAAGCTTCTGCAGTATAGACTGTCAAAGCAGATGCTGAGCCTGATGGCCAACTGATGGGCAGAGTGAATGGAATTTTATGTAAGAAGTGGGAAATAGTAAGAGCTGGAGGGGACGGGAACTCCACAAGCAGAGCAACAGAACAAGATAATTTGAACACAGGGAACTTCCCAGAGACTCATACTCCAAGCAAGGACTATTCGTGGAGATAACCTATAGCTTATGGCAGTTCAGTGTCCAAGTGGGTTACATAGTAATGGGAAGAGGGACTGCCTCTGACATAATCTGATTGGCCTGCTCTTTGATCACCTCCCCCTGACGGGGGAGCAGCCTTACCAGGCCACAGTAGAGGACAATGAAGCCACTTTTGATGAGAACTGATAGACTAAGATCAGAAAGGAGAGGAGAACCTCCCCTATCAGTGGACTTGGGGAGTGGCATGCATGCAGAAAGGGGAGGGAGGGTGGGATCGGGAGGGGAGGAGGGAGGGGCTTATGGGGGGATACAAAATGAATAAAGTGTAATTAATAAAAAATTAAAAAAAAAGAAAGTTGTAAATCAGCACACTTTTTACATATATTGATGAGTATGTAGGGTGCCCTGATTACAACATACATGGAAAATCTCTGTTGAAGGTACCAGACACTATCAAATGATATTATTGGCTTTTGGATTTTGGAAGCAAAGAGCCAGCCTGTTTGTACATTCCAAAGGGATTTCCATAATACTCACAAGGATATTAGGTCATACCCAGAAGTGAGTAATGAATGGATATTAAGGAGGCTAAAGGTAGCTCAAGAAATGTTGTAATTAAGATCTGGGTGTGCAACACTCCAACCTTTCCATAATCATTGAATTTCCACAAGCCGTTTAGCTTTTATGGGCATAGCCTCTTTCCAGGACCTTTTGTTCATAATATTAACTGTTATTTAAAAATTTGTTCATACTCCTTTAAATTCTAGGAAGTATCAGCCAATCTTTTGTAAAACTTAAATGGCAACTCTATCAAATGATACCTTTTAAAATTTTTTAAATTTCACTGTGCATGTTAAATGCATCCATGTTGTACAGTTTTGAACAAATGTAATTCATTAAAATCCTCTTCACAAAATGCTATTACAATAGTGTTCTCCTGGGACTTGGAAGAATAGAACTCAACATAGCATACATTAGAATGAATATTTTGTGTATTACTACTTTCAAGCCTAGCAGGTTTGGCTTCTCTCCAGCGTGCAGTTTTGGTAATTGTCTTAGTGCTTACTGCGGCCTCGGGACAACTTCCTGGAGTGCACCTAATTAACCTGAAAGTTTTATAAACTGATATACATGTAGATCCCCAAAATTGTCAGGACCTGTAAACCTGATGTGTACAGGGTACATTCTTAATGTTATCACTTTGTAGTAAAGCGTAAAACAACAAGGGATTTCAGTCTGGTATCTTTTGAATGAAACAAATGCTTAAGGAAGATTCTGGAAAACGTCAGTCACATTAGCCTGTATCAAAATGGAGACAGTCCGACGACACTCTGCCTCCATTGGGCCAGCAGAATAAGAGCAATGCCCTCCAAGGTAGTATAAAGGCAGAACATTAAGACTTACTTGAACAATGGTCCACTTTTTCCCAGCATGTTGCTGCAAACTGATTTTGTTGCAGTGTGATGCGGCCAATTGTTTTTGCCGTGTAAAATAGCATGTGTGAGGCTAGTGACACACGCAAGCCAAAAGAATCTGCTAAGGAAACATAAAGTCTAAGTGACAATTTCTCAAAGTTCAAAAGAACTGACTGTGCCTCCATGAGGGAGGGAGACTTCTTTTTATAACAGTAAATGGGGACTCATATTATAGCTCGTGTGCCGTCTGTGTGGGCCCTTATTCTGGATAGACAGGTGAACACCCCACTGTTTTGTTAATTTGTAATTTTGGAGGGCTCACGTTGTCCTTCCTGAAATGGGCTGATTGAGAAGGGGACAGTAGTCAGTGAAATGAGGCTCCAAAGGTTTGTAGACGCCATTGCAAGTCATTCAGGTGAGTCTCTGAGAGGTTGAGGCATGGTTGTTAGAGTGAGGGGACTTAGTTTTGGATCTGGTCTTTTGTCTCTATGGTTTGTTAATATGGCTAACTTGCTTTGCCCTTGGATGAAAATCAGAGTTCTCATTCAGAAGGTTGTATGACATCATCTCTGCCAATGTCAGCTGCTATATTTAGTGACTCACTCTCCTTGTTTCAATAGAAGCTGCTTGATTTATAACCTATTTTATTTAAAAAGTCTCACCTTTCCACCATCCATAAGAGGTAAGATGAGTCTCCCATGAACATTTGACCAATATCAACAGTGCTGTGCAAGAAATTACATGCCACAAAAATGTAGGCAGAAGGGACAGTAAACCACAGTAACATTAAAATCAAATTTATCAAAGTAGAGCAAGGAGATATCATCAGGAAAGAAGAGAAAACATATTTATTACAGACATTTAAAAGAAATAGCAATTTCTCAAAGCTGATAACAGTGGAAAATAGGATGATTTTTAAATATCTTATTGATGAATAAAAAGTCCTAGAAGTGAAGCTTAGGACTTCACTGAAGTTTCCAAGGGTCCCAGTGACTAATTAAGCTACAGTTCCTGGGAATGTCTTTGAGAATGAGCTAGGTTACATCTAAACACAACCAAACACTTATTGCTTATCCTTCTTTGACTTCGATAGTCAGAATCTCTTCCCCAGCTTCAATAGCAGGAACCATGCTGCTGATGAATGGTTGACAGGCAGGTCCTCTGGGCAAAACTGCCTTTTCAATCAACTGGGGAATTTCCTCTGCTATGATAGAACTTACTCTGCATTTGGACCTGTCCAGTGTTTTTTTTCTGATGGCTCTGTTCCCTTATCTTCGTATTCTTTTCCTTCCCCCATTCTTCCTTTGGAATTTTCACCTTTTTTCTAGAAGAAGGCATGATAAAGAATTAGTGTTTTGAAACCATAATCAAGATAGTGGGGCTACCATAAACAAATATGATCTGAACGAGTGAATATAGGAATCATGTCTGTCTTGCTGCTCACTGTCATTCTTTACCAAGTTTCCTGAGTTTAAATGTTTGTGTATTATGTTTATTTTATGGACATGATATTTTAAATGTTTAATTTAAAAATGTATATATACAATACGCAGTAAAAAGTCTGGTATCTTTCCCAATCTTGGCGGAACCTCAGGAGAAACTCATATCTCTTTTCTTATTTTATCTTCTCAGTCTCATGGGTATTTGACCTATTGTTTCACACTTGTTGTTTGTACAAGTTGTTGGACAAGTGGACGATGTGAATTTTCTCTTCCACCATGTGGTTCTAGATTGAACTCAGGTTGGAAGGCTTAGAAGCAGATGCATTTACCACTGAGCTGTCTCTTCAGCCCCAAGCTACTAGTTCTATTTATTAGTATTATCTGTAGAAAATTTACATCATTAGTTTGTGTGTTTCTTGTACAAATTGTTATCTTTAGATTGCTATAAATGAGATGTTTAGTTTACACTGTGCTCTTAATATTCACCACAGTTTTATGAGTAGAAGACAAAGATACTAGTTTTGAAATCTTAAAATTTAATGATTTTGTAGTATTTGTTTTCCTTCTTTTCTGAAAGGTTCATGGCTGCCCATTTCTAACAGTGTTGGAGACAGCATGGCAACTAACTTTAGAGACCGTGAATACTTGTTTTACTTCTCAATATCTGTTTACACAGATTTATTATGAGCATCAGTAATAATAATAATAATTCCAGAAATAACAAAGGGAGAAAACCAGTATGGTTTCACTTTTTACATTCCTACAAATTATCAGGTACAACAGTGTAAATCTGAATGTTGATTAACAGTTTGCACCACATTTCATTGTCATCTAATCCAAATTTGTTGACTAGGACTGTTGATGACCTAAATGGCTTTATGAAATATGTAGGGTTAATTTTGTCTTTAAACATTTTGTTAGATGTTGATTAAATATTTGTGGAAAATAATACAAACTATCTTTGTGTAAATATAACCAAGCAAGTGAAAGACTTATATGACAAGAACTTCAAGTCTCTGAAGAAAGAAATTGAAGAGGATATTTGAAGATGGAAAGATCTTTCATGCTCATGGATCAGTAGGAATAACATAGAAAAAAAAAGGCCATCTTACCAAAAACAATCTACAGATTCAATGCAATTCCCATCAAAATATCAACACAATTCTTTACAGATATTGAAAGAATAATTCTCAGCCTCATATGGAAGAACAACAACAACAACAACAACAAAAAACCCTAGAAGAACTAAAATAATCTTGTACAATAAAAACTTCTGGAGGTATCTCCATCCCTGATTTCAAGCTGTACTACAGAGCAATAAAATAAAAACTGCATGGTACTGGCATAGAAACAGAATGGTGAATCAATGGAATCAAATAGAAGACCCAGAAATAAACCCACCCACGTATGGACACTTGATTATTTACAAAGGAGTCAAAACTATATAATAGAAAAAAGGTAGCATCTTCAATAAATGATCCTGGTCTAACTGGACGTCTGCATGTAGAAGAATGCAAATAGATCCATATTTATCACCCTGCACAAAACTCAAGTGTATCAAAGACCTCAACATAAAACCAGATACATTCAATCCAGTAAGAGAAAATGAAATATGAGGAGTAGCCTTGAACTCATTGGCCCAGGAGTCACACACATAAAAAAAATAAAAAAGGTAAATAAATTTAAAACTCAAAACTATAGCCTGGTGCAGTGGCACATGCCTGTAATCCTGACACTCGGGAAGGCAGAGTCAGCTAGGTCTCTGAGTTCAAGGCCAGCCTGGTTTACAAAGTGAGTCCAGGACAGACAAGGATACACAAAGAAACCCTGTCTCAAAATAAATAAATAAATAAAAATAAAAGAAAATAAAGATAATAAATTAAAAAAACACACACCCCTCCCACAGAACTTCAAAATGAAACAGACAGAAAAGCCACGGCAAGAAGTAAATTGCATTGGGTCACTTATTTTCAGGGAGCTGGAATAAGAAATGGCAGTGACCGTGAGGTGACTTAGCAGATAGTAGACCTACCAGTTTTCAGCTTTTTTTTCCTTTTATATTTTGTTTTTTATGAATGACACAAGAAAATGTGTTGATTTGGGGATTACTAATAATTGCGTTAAGTAAGGAGATTCACACATAGAGGACTCGGGAACAATTGAAGGCGTTTATGGACATGTATGTTAATTTAAAGTGAACTGGTAACGATGCCGAGTAATGATAAAAGGAGGTAGGTGGCGTTTAAACAATAAGTGCCAATATAAAGCACAATTGTAGGCTTTAGGTTAGGTCAAATTAATCTGCTGTCTCAACGACGGCTGACCTGGATATCAGCCAGGCAGCAATCCCACTCCTGACGCTAACCCCCTTCACTGTTCTGTCAGCCTTGTTACCGTTACCTGAGCGGCTTGTTCTCGCTTTCCTTTGAGGAGTCTTCTGAGGTCTGCCTTTCCTTTTTTTCCCAGGAGAGCTTTGAGCATTTTGGGCGTCTCTTCTTTTGGTGGGAAAAGAAAGCCAGGCGCTGTTCTTGGAGAGATTGCTTGTGTGGTCTTCCCTTTATGGCTTAAAAGGACTCTGGAGGAAGGAGAACGCCGTTTTGAGTAGTTCTGTGATAGCTCCTGGAAAAATGGTAACTTCCTCTGCCCATGAATTTTCAGAGGGCACTCGCTTTCAGTATGGGGTGTATCACATGAGGAAAGTTTTAACAAACTGCCTGTAACGCAATCATCCTCATCTTAGATTTTATATGGTAAAACCAATGTTGTCCACCTTTATCCCCCGCATATAGCATCTAACTCTGTAGTTCTATCTGGCCTGGGAGTTGGTCCAATCCTTTGGCCTCCGCCTTGCAAGTGCCGGGAATGCCTCGAAGGGTGAACCTTCGTGCGCAGTTCTGTTGGGGCTTTAAAGGTCATACCTGGCTTTCCTCATGAGGAGCTCTTTAGAAGTTGGATAATGCACCAGAATTTCTTGGAGAGTCTTTTTGTCCAGAGTTAAAAGGTGGGCAAACCCGTGGGCCGCCACGTCAGCCGTTCGGCGGTTGCCTCCTCCTTTTGCCAGAAGGCTGCGAGATATGAAAAGCAGGCCCTCAGTCAGCAGTGTAGCTCACCTCCCCTTGATTTTCCTTTTAAGTCTCAAACAAAATTGCAAATTTAATTATTCAGTTATACATTTAAAATTTGATACCACAAGGTAAATGTGTAAGATGTTGACTTTCGGTCAACGTAGAAGTTCTTCCCAATGGGAAATACAGAATCTTCAGCAAATACTGTGTTTGATGCCTTTACTCCAGGGTTCATTTGTAACTGTCCACATGACACAATCTAGAATCACCTGGAAAAGGAAGTCAATGAGACATTGCCTGCTGATGAATTATCTTGGCTATGTTAATAGGTCAGAGGACTTGCCCAGTGTGGGCGGCCTCATGCTCTGAGGAGGGGATCCTGGATGGTACTAATTGTGGAGAAAGAGACTTGTCTCTTTCCCACATGGAGACTGAGCTGTCACGGTCTACATTTGGACAGGGGGTCTAGGTCCTCTCTATACATGGTCTTTGCTGGATGTATCAGTCTCTGTAGTCCCCCTTTGGCCCAGCTTTTTTGGCTCTGTTGGTCTCCTTGTGTGTGGCTCCTGTCCCCTCCAGGTCTTTCTATCTCCCCCTTGTCCATAAGACTCCTTGAACTCTGTACAAAGTTTGGCTGTGAATCTCTCTGCATCTGCTTCGATCCCCTGCTGGGTGGAGTCTTTTAGAGGAGATCTGTGGTAGGCTCCCATCCTGTTTTTTCTCTTTTACCACTTCTGGTATCTATCATGTTTTCCCTTCTGCCTACTCCTTGATCACTTGTCCTTGGTGGGGAGACAGAGCCAGCCCACCGAGGAAGAGGATCCAGACAGTCCTAATGGGACCTGATAGGCTAGGGTCAGACAGTAGAGGAGGAGGACCTCCACTATCAGTGGACTCCGAAAGAGGGATAGGAGAGGAAGAAGGAGGGAGGGTGGGACCAGGAGGAGATGAGGGAGGGGGCTACAACTGGGATACAAAGTGAATAAATTGTAAAAAATAAAATAAAGATATCCCCCCCCAAAAAAAAGAGAGTGAAAAAAGAGCTGAACACTCACATGAAAGCATGTGTTTATTGCTTTCTGTTCTTGACTATGGATTTGATATGAATAGTTGCTGTAGGCTTCAATCACCTTGAATTCCCGTAATAGTGGGCTGTTATGTGGAATTGCGAATCAAGTACAACATTTTGTCCTTAGGTGTTATTGTCAAGGTATATATCACAGCAACAGGAAGCAAAACTAAGACAACATTTTATTTTAAGCTCTCTGGACACTAAGGACACCATTTATATTAAAGATGTAATCATCCATTTCAAGTATTTGAAAGGCTCTCTTCCCAAGGAATTTTGGAAGATGTCTATAGTGCATACTTTTTCTACTGAGGACTATACTTTAAAATATTTTTAAATAAATATCAATGATTACAACCATTCATGTTTAGTGTTCATCTGGCCTCTAATTTAGGGGAAAATACCTTGCCAGAACCTTTTTCCTGAGGAAGGAGAATTTTCCCCAGTGCAGACCTTATAGCCTTCTTGTTTTATGTTGGGGATGGAAAACAAGTTCTTTAAGGCCATAACTCATACTTACTGCAGAAGATGGAGAGGTAATCCTAATTTAGATTATTTTCTTCCCTCTGTACCTTATCCCAACAGGACTCCTATTAGTACTGGTGAATTCCAATGGAAACAGATGACAGATTAACAGATTTCTCTGAAGAAGAATCCTATGGAAGTGTGGTCATTGTGGGGGTAAGTAAGCTCAAGAGGAATGTGAGGCTCTTGCCACCTACAGTTCTGACAACCATGTATGGTACAGCTCCTTGTCAGAGCAGCCAAAAACGTGATGCCAAAGGCTTGTCCACCTCACTTCCTGTTATCTTATTTCTAGCTTTCAACAAAAACAATTGAAACAATTACAAATCACATAGCAAAGCACATATAAGAAACAGACGAGATGACATGACACAGGTTTTAGAATTTATGGAGAATTTTAAAAATGATGATTAATACCATAAGGAGTATAATAAAAGGGGGTCATGTAAGAACAAGTAAGTAATATAAACAATGAAAAGTCTAAGACTCTAAAAGAAATGCAAGAACTCAAAGATGCTATAACAGAGATGTAGAATACTTGTGAGGAACTCTGCAACATGTTGGCCTGGGAAAGAGTCAATGAGCTTTAAGATGGATTAATAAAACCTTTCCAGACAGACATGCAGAGGAATAAGCAGAACTGAACTAGAGAAATGAAGAACTAGAGATCACGTTGAAATATGAGACATACGTAAAACTAGAATACCAGAAGGAGAGAGAAGAAAGGAGAGAAAACATATTTCAGGCATAATATTCAAGAACTTTCCAAAACCAAATACCAAACCACAGAAGCTGAGAGACTGGATAACATCAAAAAGGATAAATAATTAGTGTATCTCTTATCCTCATTAGAGAAGCTCTCTTCTGCAGAAGATGGCTATTAATACAGACATTCACAACTGATCAGTGTGCAGAGAATAAGAAACTATGGTGTACATAACCACACACACACACACACACACACACACACATGATTTAGGTGTGTTCCCTGGGATTAAGATGGGGAAGAAAGTCTAAGAGGCAGATGTAGTGAACGTTTTAGTGAAACAGTATTTGGAGGACATAGCATGACTATTGCACGCATGAACACACAGCGGCTATGATTGGACAGATAAATTAGCAGGGATCTCAGTGTGGATGGTCCTCACACTTAGATGAGGACCTGTGAGCAACTGATGGCTAGTGGTGGAGGGAGAGTCCATTTTCTTCAGGTACGTGGTCTCTGACAGGTTACTCAGTCTCCAGCAGATGGCCCCATATTCATGCAGGTAGTAGTAAGTGGACTCAGTAGGTTTAACACAGCACATGAAGCTGAGAGGGGAATAGGGGAAGGAGTAAAGGGGAGGGGGCAGAATGGAGGTTGATTTGGGCAAGGCAAATTATATGTATATATGAAATGTTTAAACAATAAAAGGAAAAGAAATGATTAAATATAAGCAAATGAATTAACGAATACCCCTCAACTACTCCTAGCATGTCATAGTTAAACTACAGGAAACCAAAGACAAAGAATAAATCTTCTTATCTAGGAGGTGATTGTTTAAGTGATATGTGCATGTGTGTGTGTGAACAGAATGTGGGAGAGTAAATGATAGTGTCACAGGGCGGACAGAGAGGAACTGTGATAAAGGGTACTCTACACTTGAAGTATTACCTGAAGGCAGGCCTAGACCTAGCTTAACATGTACACGAAAATTTTAGGGATGAAATTACTGTTAAAAGTTTGTTGGTGCTTTTATTTTGAGATTGGACATCACTGGGTAGCTGTGTCTGGCTTAAAAACTATGATCCTCCTGCACTACCCCATATTTCATAGCTGGGACTGTAGGTGTGCGCCATTATATTTGCCTAAGAATAGTTATTTTGCTAAGAAAGGAGAGAAAAATGAGTCATAAAAAATGTTCAGCTGAAGCTGAGCTGGATTGGGTACTTGGGCTCAGCCTATAATCTAAGCATCTGGGGAGCTGAGGCAGAAGGATTATAAAGTCCAGTCAGCCTGGACTGCAAGGTAAGAAAGGAAGGGAGGGAGGGAGGGAGGGAGGGAGGGAGGGAGGGAAGAAGGGTGGAAGGAAGGAAAGAACGAAGGAAGGAAGGAAGCCAAAAGTAAAGCAAGACACACACCCCAGAGCAGAAAGAAAAGAAGCAGATGAAGAAGAGGACATACTACAATATTGGGCACTTACCTCCACCGAAAATTGAAGCTGGGGGTTTTGAGAAAGGAAGGCCATGGCTCTCTGAATCACTGAAAAAATTAAACTCCTCCTCCAGGACAGAATGTACAAATTTAGAATCCTTCAGCGTGACTGTGTTAAAGCATGCTTACTTCAATCAATGCCAGAGAAGACAAAGAAAACAATTTTACTCATCTAGGAAGCCTGTTACGCATGTATGTGCATGTGCTCCATCTACCTACCTACCTGGCTACCATCTATCACAATCATTTTTCTTTACTAACTCATCCACCCACATTTCTATCTGCCTTCCTGCTTGTCTATTAAGTGAAAGGACACTGGGCTGGATGAGGTAGTTTCATTCACACTCCTGTGGTTTTAAATACAGAGTAATCGAGTAGTTAGGCAGGGCAGGAAGTCATTAGGGAGCTTAATCTGAAGCCCAGAGACCCTCATGTGCATGCCAATGTGTATGAGAATGGAAAGAACATAGTTAAATGTCAGACTATTTTGAGATTTCTCAAGCTTTAATTAAACTTGCCTACAGGTTGCATGTTTGGAGTGCTTGATGAGTTTCTGAACGGAAGAAAGACTCTGTCTGCCAGATGGATTTTGCCCAAACTCTCTCAGCAATGTTTAAAATAGCATCTCCCCCCCCTTCTTATCCACAAAATGCTTCCCCAGCATTCCATGGATGGAAAGTTTTACTCATTAAATTGCTTAGAATGAAGGCCCCTCCCTCAATATCCACCGGTAGAGTTTCCCAAAGACCCCATGCCTGAAGACAAATAGCTGATGCCACAGTTAAATTTCTCCAGGTTAAAAAGAAGCTCATCCTTCTTTTTTAATAATAATAATAGGAAATAATGTAATAGGAAATAAATCCATTCTAATCCTAGACCCAGTCATTGCTGTGACCTTAGACACCGTGAGGAGTCTTTTGATTTTCTGTTCATTCATGAAACTATTAAGCCCCACTCACAGACAATGGGTGGGAGAAGAAGAGCTGGATATCATTATGTGAAGAGGCTGCAGGATTAGGAACCAAATCACCATTTCACAGACCCCTTTATGCACACAATACTAATCATTTTTGCTGAAAACAGAGACCTCTTTTTATCTGCCACAGGAAACTAATTATAATTAAAGGAACAGCTTTTGGGGGTCTTGTGATATTTAGTTGTGAAAAGGCCTCAACTAGGCAAGACTTTTTAATGAATTCTTAACTCTAGTTT